AAAAAAATCCCTAAGAAGGACTAAAAAATGACACTCTGGACATTTAACCGGGATCCACTGTATTATGAATTCTGAATGTACTACAGCAAATTCCTTCATCTTGACTGTTGCATTTAAAAATTTACAATCTAACAAAATTTAACGCACAATATCGCCCCGCCAATTTCAGCCGTTAAAAAGAGCACATTTAATTTGCACCAACTTAATATTATCCCACCGTGTTATGCATTTCTATTCAGAATGCAACTGCACTGGTGCAACACATCGCAAAAGCGCGGTTGCAAAAGAAGATTACCTTGTCCAACTTTACGCCGAGTAAAAATTTCATCCGTCTACGCATTGTTCTTCCCCTAATGAATAATTCGCGCGAAGAGAAATACACTGCTGATAGCGTGTCTGTTGGAAAAAAAAAAAAGAAGTATTTCAATCCGTTTGATCGAAATCAGCGGTTGGCTGGTTTAATTATATTCATTTATTCCGCGTTAGAGGCACGTTTTAATTTCATGTTGGGCGAAAGCACGATACTACCGCATTCAGGACCATCCTTAATGTAAATACAGAACCAGTTTCGATTGGTTGTTATTACGGTACTGAAGAAAGTCTTCCTTTAAAATTTGCTTTTGTTTTAAACGTTCCCTCCACTTTTCTTTGGAGGAACGCTTTGTCGTTCGCGTTAATACTTGTTAAAAGTTCCGTTAAGCAGTTTACAGTTAGCCTGGTGAGACGAGTATTCTGAAAATAGGAATTTTCAACGATTGTTTCATCGATTTTCGTGTGAATATTTCACCACAGATGGATTATTACACGCGAGTTATGTAGGGTAATAATTTTCGAGGAAGTTTCACGCGTTTCGTGTGTATGCACATCGAACGGAACACATGTAACGATCGTTCAGAGACTTTCACCGACGCGGTCGCGTCTGCGCATGCGCCGTGGATCGGAGCACGCGAAAGGCTCGACGCAAGTTCGATTACGCGAAGCGTTTCGTCTCAATTATTAAATATAATATTTGGAAAAACGTCTTACTAACGATAATTCTAACGACAAAATTGGACACTTTTAAAGAAGTAATGTAGTAAATAAGAAGATTATTTTCTTGTTTTAAACGATTAAATAAAGATGCTTGTTAATTGCGGAGGATTGTTTGAAACGTTTTAGTAAAACGTTGAGTCCAAACTGATGCAGAATATTTCGTACCTTACTTTCTAATGACAGTGACTGTAACACTTGTACGCAACAATCATAATTGCAAATACTTGCAATGTATCTTTTAACAAATAAAATAATACGGAAAACATAGGTTTGTGTTAAGAGAAAAGAAAAAAGTTTACGAAAATTAACGAACTAATTTTGATAATTAAGAAACGAGTGGCAATATGGAATTTTGGGTCGAAACTTTCAGATACCGAAGTTATGCCAAGAGAATTGACAACGGTGACGTTGACACTAGGAAAATAACGTGAAAAACAATTGCCACAAATACACCGACACTTGGACAAAAATGAATCAAGCACCAGAATAAAGAAAAACTCACTTTCTATGTGTTCTATCGCGGAGGGCACGTAGTCATAGTTGCAGCTCAGGTTCCTGAAGGAATTCTCCAGATTCTCGAATTCTATCTCCATCGTGGAAACGCTGTCAACCGTTTGCAACTGAATTCAAAAAAACACTTCTCTGCTTCTTCTCTCTTCGAGCGAATTTTGCCAAGATACCAAGAGCGGAAGAGAGAAACTTGTGGTGCCAGGGCGTTTTAAAAACGACAAGAGTGTCGAAGCTGCCTTAGCCAGTGAACAGTGAGAGTGAAGTCCCCACTTTTACCGTTGTTGGATCATGTTGTTGCAACGAATCAATACTAACCGCGATTACGTTCGTATCTTTGCAATGTTTGTCTTTTCTTATGCCGGTACCTTGACATAACGATTGTGTCATTTTTTCCGGTGTGACATTAGGCCGTTTTAAAGGGATTAGACAGGCAAATTTTTGCGCAGATTGTGCGGATCTTCTCTGGTGAAAGTGAAAGTGGCGTTAAAAATAGGAAGTGCTTTCGTAATGAATTTGAAAGGACTTTGTTTTTATGGAAGGGATGAAACAAGAGGTATTAAGAAACTAAAACAAAAATGGACAGATAAGGAAATGTGGAAAAATGAAAGAAGGAGGGAAAG